GGTCTGGTACTGCGTGGCCCCCTCCCAGGCAGCCAAGTTTGAACGTATGGCCCAGAGCGTGTACCCCGAGCTGCACCGCGGCTGCCACGCGTTCATGCGCCACAAGGACATCATGATGAGCCCCCAGATGCTCAAGACCTACGGCGTCGAGTACACCATGGTGTGGCAGCTTCCCGGCTGCTTCCCGCCGCGGGACGGCCCCAGGCGGCGCGCCTGCGCCGGGGCCGCCGCGGCCCCGCCGGTTCGGGGCCGCGCGTGCGCCGGCTTTTGGGCCCGCCCCGTTGTCTGCCCGGCCGCCGCCGCCTCGCCAGCTCGGCTGGTCCCCGTTGCCCTCAGCCCCCCCCCCCTTCCCCCATTGCCCATCAAAACCCGCACCCAATCCAGGCCAAGCAGGAGCCCAATGAGTTCATGGTGCTCAACGCGGCAGCCTACCACGCCGGCTACAACCTCGGATTCAACTGCGCGGAGGCCGTGAACTTCGCGATGCAGGTGGGCGCACGCGTGTGTGTGTGTGTGTGTGTGTGTGTGTGTGTGTGTGAGTGAGTTTGTTGAGGGGAGGGTTTGTGTGGGGCATCAGACAGGGGGGGCCCGAGCTCGCCGCCGGCAGCTTGGGAGGTGGTGGAGGGTCGGGCCGCGGGCAGCACCTGGGCGGGAAAGGACCTGTCGAGTATGGGGCGGCGCCGCGTCCGAAGCGTGGGGGGCCTGCAAAGGAGGAGGGCACCCTTGCAGATTTGTGATGTCATCGGTGGCTGTTGCGGGTGGCGGAAGCACTGACTGGTCGCACTCCGCGCGCAGGAGTGGGTCGACGTCGGCTGCGCGGTGGAGCGCTGCAAGTGCGGCGCGCTGAAGGAGGGCGTGCGCATCTCCATGCGGCTGTTTGGCCGCGAGGGCAGCAGCGACGAGGACGATGACAGCGAGGATGACGATGACGTCAGCGGCAGCAGCTCGGTGGGTGGGGGCAGTGGGGCGGTTGTCCGACGGCAGGGCGGGCGCGAGGGAGGGAGGGGGGCAATTAATGTCTCCGAAGGCGTGCGGCGTCTCTAGTTCGGCCGGTGCGTGACTTTCGCATGACTCATCGCGCCTGATTGATTCGTTGCCCCGTTGCTGATGAGTGCCCCGGCCGTGCGGCGCGCCGCTCAGGAGGACGAGGGGAGCAGCGAGGAGCGCGGGGAGGAGGGGGAGCGACCGGGCAGCCCCCAGCCGCCGCGGCGGCGCAGCGGGCGCGAGCCGAAGCCGCGGGACCTGGATTCGCTGCCAATCGCCGCTTTCAGGGTGCCAGCCGCGGTATCAAAGCTGGCCGCCCCCGCCGCGGGCAGCAAGCGCCCCCACGGAGGCGACGGCGGCGGCGCCGCGCGCGAGGCGAAACGCGCGAAGGGGCGTGACACGCAGACGGCGCGGGCGGCGGCGGCGGCGGAGGCGGTGGCGGCGGAGGCGGTTGCTCGGCGGCGGGCGGCGCGGGCTGGCGCGGAGGCGCGGGAGAAGGCGGCGGTCAACACGGTCAAAGCACGCAAGGTGCGCCGCTGCCTTGGCGTTGCAGGGCCCGAGCCAACGCGTGCCCTGGCATGGAGGCTTTGTTGAGGCTCGTTCGTATGACTTATGAATCAGGTTCCGGCGGCGTATGCACCAGTCCCTTGAAGGAAGCGAAAGCTTTGAACGCTACAGCGGGCAGGGGCGCGCCCCTCCGCCGCACTGTCATCATGCCCCCCCTCCGTTTCCTGGCCGCGGCGCCCAACCTGTGCCGTCTCCACCCTCCAGGCGGACAGGGCCGTCGGCTCTGGCCCCCGCAGCACAGACGAGGTCGTGACCTCCCTGCGGCGCGCCGCCGCCGCCGCCGCCGCGCTGCGCGCGGAGCACGAGGCGCGGCGCGCCGAGCACCACGCGCGGCGCGGCGGCGGCGGCGGCGGGGCCCGCGAGGAGGCAGAATCGGAGGATGAGTCGGAGGAGGTGGAGGAGGAGGAGGAGGAGGGGAGCGAGGCGGGCGACGCCGACGCGAGCCCCGAGCCGGAGGGGCCGGCGCCGCAGGTCATTGTGGGAGGGGACTCTGGCGGCAAGTTCTTCTATTTGGTCCAGAGGCTGAGGTGCGCGCAGGACACAGGTCCCCCTGCTGACGAGCCCGTGCGCCGCGGACGCGGGCGCAGTGCGGGGCGCCGCGAGCCCGTTTGGCGCCTTGGGCACGCGCGCGCGCCCGCTGCGTACACCCCAGCGGCGCGCACTGGTCAGAAGCGCAGCCTCGCCCTTCCCCCGTCAACTCCCTCATCGCCCCCTCCCTGCCCTCCCC